GAATATTTAACAATAACTGATATAATATTATTATTTGTTAAATTTAAATAACCATTATATGTTGAACTCATTGAACCTGCTTCACTTCCAATTAATTTATCTGTTAATATTAAAGGAATTTTATTTTCATTAACATAATTCATTATTTTATTTCCTATATTATCTAATATTAAATTATCATTTATTCGATTAAATAAACAATTTATATTTAAAATAAATATAATTAACAACAAATTTATCGACAATATTAACATTGAATTAATTTAGTTTATTATTTAACCGCTCTTTTATTATTAATATCATTAAATATTTCATTGATCTATAATTATTTATTATTATTATATTATTGTTTATTTGAAAAGGTTAAGGTGTGAGTGTGAGTGCAGATAAGAATAAGAATCATGTTCTATACTTACATCATAATCATTGAATAGTCAATCTTATTCAGCACTTTTTATTAATATTAACTTGTCTGTCCACAAAACGCATTCTTACTTATGTTATAAGACGAAGCAACTATTACGATCGAGGACAACATGAAAAAATGTTCTTGATTAGACACCGACGATCAAATGACGAAAATAAATCAACAAACCAAAGAAGATAAATGACATAATTGGAAAAAAAGTGTGCAGATTATTCGAAATTGGTCTAAACTTTTTCATATATACAGCACAAATGTGCCAATTAGACAATCATTATTCAAATATGAAGAATTGAAAACAATAATCCAGGTCAACAATGAGCCATCGGAATTCGATCGGATCTCAATTAATTTTCATAATTTCCGACGCATTCCGATTACCGAATTCCGATGAAATCCGAAGGATAGTTCTGATAGGATTCATTTATCGGAGTTCAGTCGGTTCCATCAAGTTTCGAGAAGTTAGTCGGCGAGTTGCAGTGGAACATATGTTTTACATATAAATTTATTACTAATTGAATGTTTTTTAGATTCCAACGAAAAAAATAAGCTCAGGCATGCTGATGAATGAGCAGAATGATTTTTCATGCTTAATATTTAACTCGCTACTTCAATAATAATGAAAGCACCAAATCGATTAGAGTGTTGTACAAGATTAGTATTATAAACATTGAATTTAGTACAAGACTTGAATGGCCAATTAATAATAAATAGGCATAAAATACTTTCTATATGAGCAGTCTACATGAGCAAGAGTTATTTAGGCAAAAATAATTTCTCATATCATAAGATTTTAACTGTATCAATGTACAGAATACTAATCAGTGGTCTCTTTTCGTTATGGTATTCTTCTATTATTTGCACTCGTGTGCTTTATCTGAGGCATCAAAATTATTTGGCAACAATTCTTTTCTACCGATTATTAATTATATAGCAAGCTTTTTTTCTTCATTCGTTTTGCTTTCAACTGAGGGTTGATGTTCTCTCGTGCTAGTTACAGAGTGAGACAAAAACATAGGTACTTGATAAAAAATGTCTTCGTCTCTTTTATTACAGATCTGAAAAGGCTCTAATTATGAAATAAAATATTTTGCAACCACACGAATAAAACCCTAAAAATTCAAAACTCTATCCCTATCACTAGGGAATATATATAGCTGGTACTATAGAGAAGCCCTTTTTGTGTGACCTAATAGAATTTCTTATATATAAGGAAATACCTAGAATAGTAAGTTTTTATCATAAATACAATATCAAACAATACAATAATTTATATTTTCATCTTATTATAGAAGTTTTCTATTGGTTGAAGAACCATCACTATTAATAGCACACTAGAATCTTTCACAGCGTCGAACTCATCCAGCTTCAGCACCATTACAACTTGAGTGTCTTCCATATGAAAAAATTCATCGAAATGAAAGATCGTTAATCAGTAACAATCATCCTTTTACAGACAGCCAATTAGAGATAAGCACGTTTCCACCAGTATATTACAGATATCCAATTAACCTTTTGACATAATAAATTCAACTGTATTCTGCCAATATTTTCTCATTTCATTGTCTTCCTTTCCACTCTTTTTCCATGGTTTCATGCAAGTCTTCAGTACTATGTATTTTTCGGTGATGTGAACAGAATCTTCTCTATAGTATGAGCCATATCATTTTTCTTAAGGTAGTGCTGGGCTTATGAACATTTAGGATCCAATTCATTTAGCTGCAAAATATTTTCTATCCTACTTAGAACATTCAAGAGTTTATAATAACAGAGAAGAAAAAGAATTTCTAGCAAGTATTAAAACTTTTACCTTCATTTATAGGTGTACGAAACTAAGATTATAACCATCCCCGTGCCAGTTGAAGAGTATAGTGATAAGGATATAGGCATAAGGGGTATGGGTGTAAGATTATAGTTTACGGATTATTAATATCTTTGCACTGTGTTTAATGACTGTATCTGGGTTTCTCTCGCGTTTGCGGGCAGACAATGGACTTTTTACCATTGTAGACAGAAATCTTAATATTTATTATATATTTAACAGACGGTAGTGAATCGGAAAAATAACAACCACTGAAGCCTAATGATTAATATCCGATTAGATTCTATCGGATCTGTTAATTTTCGTTGCAAGATCCGATAAGATCCTTTCCCAGTTAAATGTCTGTCGGATTTCGGATCAGTGGATTCTGGACTCAATCCGATAGAATACAACAAGATTCAATAGTCGGATTTCTTGACCTGGGTAAACAAACATTGTAAGCAGATGTGCTGATAACCATATGGGTTTCCAGTAGAATTTTTAAAAGTATGATGCATTTTCACAATGGTGTCACGAAGGCGTTTTGCTTCGTGACCTCTCAAAAAATTAAATATAATCTTTTTTTTTATGCGTACAGATACTGCTGTCGTAGTGTAGTTCATTTAGATTTCAGTTGAGTATTAATGTGTGGATATCAGTTTGATTAGGTGAATTTCTAACAAAAATGATCACATAGACCCGCATACCATTGTGGATAAGGAAGTTGATGCTAAAATCAACTTCTACACACCTACCCGCCCTTTTGAAACGTTGGATACTAACTTTGTTGAAGATTGTAAAGCAGTATATAACACTAGAGGAGGCGAATATTCAGTCGAGGGTTAAGCGAGTCATACGGACGAGCGTTACCAATGTAACCTATCAATATGAGTCAAAATTAATAGTTTTATTTACACATGAACTGTTCATGATTAATTAATAACAAAGAAAAAAATAATTAATTAAATCTGATGACAATCAATGAACTTGATGGAAACCAAGATGACGAACATTCTTGAGTTATGATAATTAATATCGATCGATAAATAGCTTTATAAGAGGTTTCGTATCTTGACAGTATAGTGAACAAGTAGATTAACTTTGAACAATTCTTATCTATTTTATTATTATTGATAAGACACAAATCTTTTCTTGTATTTAAGTTCCTGTCTTTTTCATGACTAGCCTTTGATTTCTACACTTTGAAACACTTCTAACGAGAGAAATCAATCAAATCATAAGTCGCTTTTACATTGAAACACACAAAACTGTATGCAGTTGATTTATGACAAACTTTCTGTTCATAAAACTCAGTTTCGAATTAGTCTAACATAATATCACTAGACAATATATTCACAAGAGTCATTTTTCTGTTGAAGATATTTTATCATTATTTTTCAATTATTTAAATGCATCGTTAGACAGACAATAATAACAAATGTTCTATATGAGATATACTATTTCTATTTCTTTCTATCTTTTTATCAAACGGATAAGATTAATATAAAATAAGAATATTTTCTAAATATTATCTTTGTTTATCTAATCGTTCATTTTATTAATTGAAAAAATAAGGTTAAAATGTCTGTAAAAAGTACTTCAGTGAATATTTTATCTATTGATAGATTATCGATCAATTAGAAATTGAGTTTGATGAGGAATACGGTTGTAAAAATGATTTATTAGTTAACATATTGAATATAGAAGAGCATAAGAGTCATTAGGACTCTGATATTTGAAATCTACACAATAAACTAAGTATAGTCTTGAAAGTATTGAGAAAAAAGCGATTTACAACTAGGAATAATTCTTTCGTAATAAGAATAAGAATTGTTCAATGTGATAATAGTTTCTAATCAAACTTCATTAAAAAAAAAATATAATTGACAATGATCACAATGTTCATACTTGATTGTATGATAATAATTCTATATATTAAATTTCAAGAAAATATTACGAAGAAGAGTGAAATAAAGAGTCTAATTGAGAGACAGTTTTTTCTATAGATTGTTTGTATTTGTTCAATGTACATAAGAAAGAATGAACTGGACACTAAACATTTCTCAACAGCAGATAATAATGCTTTAAAATTTTTCTGTTGGTTAGTTAGACAATGAAACAATATTCGAGGAATGATATTTTAATATACATTGGAAATTGATTGAGATAAACCAAAATAATTGACTATATATATATATATATATATGTATTAGAATGAGAGCAGTTGAATAAAATTACAAATTCCTGATGTTATAGTAACAGATATGATTAGAAACGTTTCTTTTTAAATTCAACTATTGTATGAGTGATTGTGGCCATAAGCATTGCTGGAGTGTCAGTGTGGGTATGGGTGTAGATTAGGAGATTATTGATACACACATATACATCTATACTGACACCTTTCGTCTTTAGATCAAAATGTGTTCGCTTCGAAAATTTCATTATATTCCTAACATCGTTGATTGTAATAACAGTTGTAACCACTCTATTAATGTGATAAATTCTAAATTATTGTTGAAACAAAGACGCACATTTCTACTTGTTTTTCTGAAGTATATTATGTCTGTTACTAACTACATATTAATAAATGAGTGAAAAATGTAAGTGACACTATTAAAAATAAGTATAATTATATAGGAAAGTTATATTCAATCTAGTAGAATTATTTGGTTATTTAATTAGATGAAGTGAAAAAATGGAATAATATAATAAGAACTTTTATTTTGTGTAAAAAAACAACAAAGTTTTTTAAAAAATTTCTATAATATGATCATATTATCTCAAATAAGATATATATGATGGAATTATCTTGATATAAATCAAATGTCGTTGTGAAATATGATCAAATTCTAATTTGATAATACGAAATCGAGCTCCAGGTCTCAATAATATTTCTTGTTCACATTGAATAAATGTATTTTTATTCAAATATGTAAATTGATCATAAGATAAATAACGTCCTAGTTCAATTATATATAAAACATTCAATCCAAATGTTTCAGCAACATAACGTTTAAGTGAAGTTGAAACAAATGGAAGCCATTTAAAATATTTTTTTTTTCCAATTGCTTGTTTATATTCTTCGATTTTTTCATGATAAATATTATCACCACGATAGACAATTATAGATTGAGATATACTTCGATGAATTATTTGTGAAATACAACGACGAATTGATAAATTCTCATTTATATCTCGACCAATATAATTATAAACAAGATAACAATATGGACCTAATGTTTCAAGTTTAGTTCTATCATCATCTCGTAATGCTGTATTAACAATACGAAATAGAAAACATTGTTTTGTATACAGTTTAGCACAACAATCTTGTAACATTTTCATTTTTTTTCTATTGTTCTTATTGAAATTTTCATATTTGACCAAGTTCAAAGCATCAATTATTTCTTTAACTGTTTTATTTGGTTGATAACGTCCTTCATGTATTAATCCATTAATAAGAACGGGAAATATATTATCAAATGTCACATCAAATTTACCTTGAGTAAATAATAATAACCAATCTGTTATAAATAGTGAACCATGATATGTTGTATCTATAGTTGTACTAGTTTTTCCATTAATACTCAACGGAAACGATAATCTTTCATCATGAGCTGTTTCATCTTCACTTATTCCGTTATTGGTCATCGATGCTTTAAAATAACGTCGTCGTATAGGTCGTTGTCGTTTTTCTCCTTCAATATACTCTTCTACAAACTTTATGAAATCAATACGATTTCGTTTACTAATAAATGTCTGATCAACACCACTTATAAAGGCTTTCTCCAATATTGATGATATATCAGAAGGATAACGAGTCCACACAATAGATTTACTACCATTCCACAGATTTTCATTTGTCTTATATATCCAGATATATTCACATTCAGATGATATTGGTGATATTGGACGCACAGTTATTAATTTTACTTGTGAAATCATGTCACTGATCGAATTAAAACAATCTATATATATATATTTATACTTTTGAAAATTTTTCTGAATATAGGAGCGAATTCTAAAAATAACTATAACAATTGATTACATGATCTAATGAAAGGATGGATATATATTTAAAATAATTTGTATACATTTGTCTAATAGACAAGTTCTATTTAAATAAGAATTCTTCGTTTCAATTTCAATAGAGCAAATGTAGAACATATTTATGGATAGAACTTTATCTTTACTTTAGAAAGTTAATCAAATTAACTAATTTAATCTTATTGATTAAATATTAAGTTAAGTTATATAGAGTAAAGTAAATAATAATACTTTTAATTAATTATTGAGTTTCTAGTCTATTATCGTAGATTGATAATGATAGTGCATCATTATCAATCTATAATATTAGATTACAAAAACAATATTAATTTGTAAGAATTTAAACATATTTTACTTTGAAAAAGTAAAATGAAGACAAAAATATTAATCGTAAATATGACTCATTTCTTTCTATGATTGTTGACTAACAAGAAAAAAACTGGTCTCATTAAATACCTCTATCGAACTTAGTAGAACACTATTTAACAAAAAAAACCATATTGTCGTTCTTTCAATGTGCATAAATAATGTAGGGTAAATGAAAAAAAAAATCCGGTAAAAGTATGATTTGATAATGTAACAATATCGCAAAATATAGTTCCTTATATTATCGATCCATCTATAAACGTCAGTATTTTTAATGAAAAGAGAGTAAGATGAGTATGCATAGAAATTTATGAATCACTTCCTCACCTATTTTTTAATAGAACATATTAAAAGAACCTCTTCTGACAACATGATCCACTTCCTCACAATTCCAATACAAAATTCATCGAACCGTTGTTAATTATTGAAATAAAAAAATAATAATCTGTCATATGTATTATAGTTCAATTTGTAAACAAAATATTTCCTTTAATTTAAATAAGTTTTGAACAATAACGTAAAAAGCATAGATCTACTTTTGATAAAGATATTTTTGATAGTTTCCAATAACATTATATATATATACAGTGTTGGCCAAAAAAATAAGATCAGCATATTTTTGGTTTTCTTTCTACTAGAGCACGCATCTATCTCAAAGTCAAATAGTGATTTGGATAGATAATGAGTTGTTCTATAAAATGCATAATAAGCCATATCTTCACCGATGAATTAAGAGAGTAAAGGACCTAAAAAACAAAAACCAACATTTTTCAAGTTCTAAAAGCATTTATCAGAGCCAGCTTTGAATAGTGCTATCTTGAAGAACGCAAAATTCTGAGCAAAATGAGGGGTCGCCGCGCTTTCTACGACTTTT